TAGAACGAGCCGTTTTAGGTAGGTGTGGCTGACTCTTAACTTTTATAAAGAATATCTCTTTGAATTTGAGACTTCAGTTTTTGCAACTTTACAGATCTTCTTTATGCACCAAGAGCTTGTAACACTCCAAAGAGAAAGGAACAATTGAAATCGGATCATATGACCCCTTTAAACAAAGCATTAACACATGTTAGACTAGCCTAAAAAAGCCTAGAAAAAAAAGTCAACCACCCCTTTAAACAGGTTATGAATTTGAATTGGTGCAGATCATTGTCTTTGCTCACTGTGACTGTGCTCTGTGTGTGTGTGTGTGTGTGTGTGTGTGTGTGTGTGTGTGTGTGTGTGTGTGTGTGTGTGCGTGTGTGTACGTGTGTGTGTGTGTGTGCGTGTGTACGTGTGTGAGTGTGCTGTGTGTGTGTAGGAGTGAATCTGCTGGTGGGCACCGAGAGCGGCCTGTGGCTGCTGGATCGCAGTGGTCAGGGTAAAGTTTACTCTCTCATCAGCCGCAGACGCTTCCAGCAGATGGACGTGCTGGAGGGGCTCAACATGCTCATCACTATATCAGGTACACACTCTACATACTGCACTTCAGCACGACTCAGAGTAGTCTTCATGATAGCACATGATAGTGGAAGAACTGACCACTAGATTAACTGAGAAAGCTGGATGAGCCATGTTGGATCAGTTATCACAATAATCTTGTGTTAAGAAAACGACTGATTGCGTGAAAGTACTCTAAAGAAAGCACAATTGCAGGCTTTAAATGAATGACTTCTGAAAAAATGTTTTGTATAACTTGTAACAACAGTAACAAAGCCAATAAAGTAATAATAAAACAAAACTCACAATATTACTCAGCCAGCTAACCACACACACATTACAACATTACATTACATGATATTGTTTCCTATCCCTTAAAGCATAACTCATATCATCACTCATTACTTGTTCTCAAACATGATACTGCTTAGTAATCTTGCACAAGCAACAATATTGTGCACTTCTTAGTGTTAATGAAGAGATAATCTGTCATGAAAGCACACTCACACTCAGAATGGCTTATACCCAGCTGAACATGTAAATCATACTTATTATAATTGCATGAACGATATCATTGTCATCTCTTAACAAGTTCATGGAAACATAGTATTCTCATTTGTAGCATTCAGTTAATCCATCTTTACAAGAAACAGTGTTGTTCTTCCATTTGTAAATCTTAATAATTCCAGTTAGTGTATATATATATATATACAGTCTGTGTGTGTGTGCGTGTGTGTGCGTGTGTGTGCGTGCGCGTGTGTGAGTGAGTGAGTGTCTGTCTGTCTGACTGTCTGTCTGTCTGTCTGTCTGTCTGTCTGTCTGTGTGCGTGCGTGCGTGCGTGCGTGCGTGCGTGCGTGCGTGTGTGTGTGCAGCCCGACCAAGGTGACGCTGCTGGGATCCGTTGTGTTCTCTCTCCATCAGTGCCGCTTTCTCCCGATTCAGACGCATCAGCTGATCTTCATCTACACGCTCTTCATCGTCACCAACAAGGTCTGTGTGTTTGTCTTTCTGCAGCATTCAGACTGAAACCAAACACTCCTTATCTGGGTTTATATGGAGATACATGAATATCTAGATCTATATTTGTCAAAATAGTACAAATAATAATGCATTTATTTATTTAGCATTTTAATTAATTTTTATAGTTGTTTTGCTTTAATCCTTAAAAAAAGTAAAAACAAAATACATTTAAACAGACATAAAGAGCAGTAATAAAATACAAAATAAAACATGCAAAATAGTCCATAAAACCTAAAATATAAATAAAATGGATTAATATTATATTAATAAATATTAGAAAATGATATCATATATTTTTATTGTATGTTGTATTTATACACACACACTGTAATATATCTACCGTATATATGCACTACCGTTCAAAAGTTTGGGATCAGTAAGACTTCAGTAAGAAGTCTCTTTAAAGAGCCTCTGCTCATCAAGGCTGCATTTATTTGATCAAAAATACAGAAAAAAACAGTAATTTTGCAAAATGTTATTACAATATAAAATAATGGTTTCTATTTTAATATCCTTTAAAATATAATTTATTTCTGTGATGCAAAGCTGAATTTCCATCATCATTACTCCAGTCTTCAGTGTCACATGATCTTCAGAAATCATTCTAATATGCTGATTTATTATTATTATTATCAATGTTGTGCTGACAAATATTATTTTTGGAAACTGTGATACTTTTTCAGGATTCTTTGATGAATAAAAAGTTAAAAAGAACAGCATTTATTCAAAATATAAATCTTTTCTAACAATATAAATCTTTGCTATCACTTCTTATCAATTTAACACGTCCTTGCTGAATAAAAGTTTTAATTTCTTTCAAAAAAGAAAGAATAAAAATGTACTGACCCCAAACTTTTGAACTGTAGTGTATATTGTTAGAAAAGATTTCTATTTTAAATAAATGCTCTTCTTTTTAACTTTTTATTCGTCAAAGAATCCTGAAAAAAGTATCACAGGTTCCAAAAATAAGGTCTTGCGTAATGATCCGGAGGTGGAGAAGAAACAGGGCTGGACCTCAGTGGGGGAACTGGAGGGATGTGTGAGCTACAAAGTAGGTGAGTCCAGAACAAGACAACATTCACATATGTGTTTAATAGAGTTTGCCAACAAACATCTCAAGCAGCTTTACTGTGAACTCAGAGAGACATGCAAGGTAGGCCTACTATTAAAAACCTACGAAACATTTTAATTATAAAGCGTGACATTTATTATAATACACTGCATGGAAACACCTGGTGAGCTCAGTCCAGCACACTAGAGGAGAAAGCATCATCCAGTGCTGGCTGCCTGACCAACAGAAACTCTGGATCAAGCGTGGTGATTGACACACGATAAGAGCGCAGATTCAGATTTCAGTCTCATAACTGGTCACTCTTGCTCTAGTGAAAATCATGTAGGATGGAAAGGTTTGAGAAATGTCTTCCTTCTGTGTCATCACCATAAGTCATGATCTTTTACTCCACACTAACATCATGCTGATGATTTCAGTTCGCTATGAGAAAATCAAGTTCCTGGTCATCGCTCTGAGGAACGCAGTGGAGGTTTACGCCTGGGCTCCCAAACCGTATCACAAGTTCATGGCTTTTAAAGTAAGTATTTTATATTAGTAGAGATTTTATTTCATTTTTAGGCATATTGATTAACTGAGGAAATCTCTCAAAAGCTACCAAGAACATTTCTGGGTCATAATTTCAAAAAGAAAGTATGAGAAGAGAAAGAGAATGATATTTAATAATTAAGCAAATTAAAGGATTTCTATTTTTAGTGTTCAAGTGTTTAAACTGCTTTTATTTTACATTTTTTTGATTGAATGAATTATTAGGTTTTTATCAACTCACTATACACTATTCACGCTCTGTCAACTCACTAATGTAATGTTTAATGCATTTTATGATATTGATATCAAAAAGTGGAATATATTTTCTTTCTCTTTGCTTTTTTTAATATCAATATGGTACATTTAATGGTAAGCTTAAAACATGTTTAATAAACAAGTAATCTAAAAGTACTCCGAATACATTACCTAAAATGAGTAACTTAGATTACATTACTAACTACAGTTTTCATCATGTAATCTGTAATCAGTAACAGACTACAATTTGTAAGTCATCTACTCATTTTTTTTACTACGCCAGAAAAGCCAGACGTATAAAGCTGGTTATGTGATGCAAACATCAAACTGTTAGTTTACAAATCATGCACTATAGTAAAAGTGTTTTCAGCTCATTACATAGTATTGTGCAGAAAACTTGAACAAAAATAAGTCTTCATTAATCAATAATCTGCCCCGTGATCATAATTTGTGTAAAAAGTTGTTGGTGTTTTACTGACACTGGTGTTTATTTCAGCAGGACTGAAGTGAAATGCATGTATGTGTGTTTTTGCAGTTTTGCAGAGTCACATACTGTATTTCCATTGAGTCTGAGTTGAAATATAACTCTGTTAACTGGTTTCTGAGATTCACTGTACAGTATGAAAACAGTTGCTTTGGACCATGGCTAAGGAGGCAGTTACAGTCATAACTACCATACTTTCTAATGTCATATTTCTAATTACCTGCTGTTTATAGGCTATTTCTAAATTCTTCCATTACAAAAAAATAGGATGGATTAATGATAGGTAATAACTGGGGTGTTTTTAGAAATGGGTCATTTTTGAGTGCGTGTCCTACTTCACTGCGGTCCTGAGAGACTTACTCTACTTCTCACATGAACTTCTACCGTATAGACTTTGAGAATTTACTCAGATTGTTGTCCTGCCCATTCTCTCGGAAATGCAAACATTGTGTGTTAGGGCTAGTGTTGAATGACCCAATCTCGTTCAAATTTGGTGCTGTTTCTTCAGAAATGTCTTCAGAAACTGGCTTCTTCAGTTCGCTGTGGCAGTGGGTATCATATTTTGTCAATTGAAGTACTCGACAGATAAATGAAACGTGCACCTGAACAGGAGTAATAGTACAGATAATTAAAAAATCAATATCTGTGTTATTGCACATATGGGTCAGATGGGCGTCTTGCATCAGCACTGTTATGAAATAGTAAAACTACAAACTCAAAACATCAGAGCTCTCAAAGTCATTGTGTTTGATCATGATGTGAAGACTACGCAGTTCTTCTGATGTTTTAGTTTGTTTGTTCTGTGTTTTGTCGTTCTTCTATAAGTTTTACCAGAGATGAACTCCTTAACATTAAGCAACGCATCCCAGACAATATTTTTCCGGTTTTTGATTATTCAGATGTTTTGTTGGACATTCTAATCAGTGGTACAGTGGTGTTGTTCAAACGCACGCTCAGACGTAGAAGAGGGAAGCATGCCGGTTAAGCTCCACGAGCGTGGCTTTCCAACTGCGCTTCCAAGCATTCATCTTGCGAATGTCCGTTCCCTTCGTAGCAAAACGGATGAACTAGTTCTTCTCCTCACCCGCATCAACAAGGACTTTTCAAACTCTGCTGCACTGTGCTTCACTGAAACCTGGCTGAGTGAAGCCATTCCGGATAACGCACTTCATCTGCCGGGCTTCCAGCTGTTCAGAGCGGATCGCATCGCAGAGTTAACAGGGAAAACAAGAGGTGGTGGATCGTGTTTCTATATCAACGAAAGATGGTGTTCAGATGTAACAACGCTGAAAAAAAATGCTCTCCTAACTTAGAGGCGCTCTTCATAAACTGTAAATCTTTCTACTCGCCGCGGGAGTTTTCATCGTTCATTCTTGTGAATGTGTACATTCCTCCGGACACGTGTGTGAGCGCAGCGGTGCAACAGCTGGCTGAACTAATAACTGAAACAGAGCAACAGTACTCGGACTCTCTTTTAATCATTCTTGGAGATTTTAATAAAGCAAATATCTCCCGTGAACTGCCAAAATACAGACAGCACGTTACATGTCCCACCAGAGACCGTAATATGTTGGATCACTGTTACACAGCAATAAAGGATGCTTATCGCTCTGTCCCATGGACAGCTTTGGGGCTCTCTGATCACTGCCTGGTTCATCTGTCCTACAGGCAGAAACTGAAATCAGCTAAACCTGTATTAAGGACTGTTATAATATGGACTAATGAAGCAGAGCGGGATTTACAAGCCTGCTTCGACCTCACTGATTGGAGTGTTTTTGAAGCTGC